CAGCTCCACTCAGCTGTCTCAGCTGTCTGGTTGAAGGATTTTGCTTTCATACTTTTGCATGATACAATGTTGCATTAGCACTCTGGTTAACACATGTTATTTTGTGCCACCTTGATAAGCACATGTTGGTTATGTCATTCTACTGTGTATGCTCTGAGTGTGATGTTACCCTTCAGATAAAGACATGTTGTATACCATGGGTTGTACTGCAGAGGGTTTGCACCATCCCTCTGAGTCATTGCTCTACTGTACATGCTCTAAACATGGCTTCCCTCGATGCCATCTTAGTTGACTGGACTGACACCATCTTAATTCTGTCCTGCTCTCCACACATGGGCTATGAGGTAAACATACAAAAATCAGTTGTAATTCTGTATAGTTTTAATGGAAATTTAGAAAATGAAATTTGTTAGAAATATGATTTAAAATAGCATAAAAATCAAATATGAAAGCAATCCTTTGAAAGATGTACAAGATATCTACTGGGAAATACAAAACACTGCTAAGTAAATGAAGAGATATACCATATTTATGTATTGGAAGACTCATTGTTAAGATATCTATTTTCTACAAATTATAGAGTTTGTTTATGAACTCCATAGATTATAGAGTCCATATATTTCATGCAATCCCAATCTAAATCACAGAAGGAATTTTAAAAGAAATTGTAAAGCTGTTTTTAAAATTTAAGTGAAAATAATCTAGAACAGTAATAACAATCTTGAGAAAACAAAGTTAAAGGACTTATGATGACTTGAAGTTTTACAATAAGACAAGAGTAATCATGCAAATGATATTTGCATGAGCATATAAATGGAAATAATAAAATAGAATAATAGAATCATACATATATAGTATTGATTTTTGACTAAAGCATTATTTCAATTCAGTGGTTAAAGAATAGTCTTTCACAAATGTGGCTGAACAACTGGATATCTCTATAGAAAAAAAAGTGAACTTTGGCCCTTACCTCATTCTGTATACAAATATTAATTCACCATGGATCATAGACCTAAGCCAAAAATCTGGAACCATAGCCCTGGCCAGGGGTCTCAATTGGTTATAACGTTGCCCCATACACCAAAAGTTTGCAGGCTCAGCCTCAAGTCAGGGCATGTACAGGAGGCAACCAATTGATGTTTCTATCTCTTTCTTCTTCTCTCTCTAAAAATTAACCAAAACATCCTTGATGCAGATTTTTTTTAAAAGCTGGAATCATAAATATTTCCTAAAAATACATAAGATACTGTCTCCATAATCTTTGGGTAGGCAAACAAAAAAATTATTTGCTGGGATACAGAAAGCACTAACCATCAAAGAAAAATTGAGAAATTAGATGTCATCAAAATTAAAAATGTCTAATAATCAATTACACCATTAAAAAAATGGAGAGATAAGCCTGAGAAATTTCTCACCTTACATCTGCCTGAAAAGGAACTTGTATCCAGAATATAAAGTAATTTCTATACATAAACAGCATCTTCATAGAACCCAACACAATTTAAAAATGCGCAAAAGATTTTACCTTCACAGTATGATGTTTGAATGACCAAAAGGAACATGAAAAAAGTTCGGCATCATTAATCATCAGAGAACTGTAATTAAAACCATGAGATTCATTTAACATCCACTAAAATAACTAAAATAAAAGGAAACCTGACAGTACCAATCATTGTTGAGGAGGTGGAGTAACAGAGGTCTCAGATGTAATGTTAGGAAATGAAAAATGGTACAATTAGTTTGCAAAACAATGTGTAAGTTTCTTAAAAGTTTAAATATATATCATGACCACTCCTAGGAATTGAACAGAAAAAAATATATGTCCCCAAGTAGAAATATTCTGATAGCTATAAATGGGAAAAAAGACCCATGTGTCCATCAACAGAGAACTGCTTAGACAATCTGTTGTGTAGCCATACTATGGAAACGAATGCAGTAATACAAAGAAACAAACTACTCACACATGCAAAACATGGATGAATCTCAAAGACATTGTGTTCATTGTGTGGAAGTCACAAGCCACACTAATGTCTGACTTTACTGATACGAATTTCAAGATGTGACAAATCTAATCCATGGAGATAAGAATCAAAACAGTGTTTGCCTCAGAGGTAGGAGGGAACATCGTAAGGTGATGGAAATATTTCTATCTTGTTTGGGATGCTAACTACACAGATACGTGTAATTGTCAAAACTTAGGATCTGAATTTTATTGTATGCAAATTTAACTCAATTAGAAACAATTCTTTGTGTTTTTATAATTCACAGAAATTTTCACTATAATTATAATGCAGACACTCTGATAGGTTTTGGCTGAATTCATTTTATTCACCCTACCTTGTGTGGTTAAGTGAAATGCTTATTACTCTCACTGTGAAGATGAAGAAATAGAGTCTCGTACTGCTGGTCTGAGAAGCCAGGTTGTCTGGCAGGTCTCTGACCTCTCTCTGAGTGTGCAGCTTGGAGTCATGAGCTATAGGAATTGAAAAATCTCCCAAGGTTCTTCTTCATCCTCCATCCTCCCATTTTTCAGTTGTAGAAACTGAGGACTAGAGAGCCTAGGTGACCTGGGAAGTGGTGTGTAAGTTTAGGAAAAGGAATGATGGAGAAAAGGGCTCAGCAATGTCAGTTTCCCCTGAATGTAGCCCTGTCTGGGATCTCTGAAATGTTTCACTCTTTCTTCCAAGTTCCCACAGTAGACTCTAAATTCCTAAGATAAGGAAAGAGTATGCCTTACTCATCTGCACATTTCCTTTTACAGTCCTTCCTCTCCCTGCCCCTTCCAGAGAGATACTCAACACATGTTTACGAAATGTAAATGTTTGCAAAATACTTGCAAAGGAGCTTATAATGTAAAGAGTTAAAATATATTTAAAGAAAAGAAATATGGATCAAATAGAAAACAAAAGAATTATGGAGTCAGGGAAGAGATTATTATAAAATCTTTGTTATGATATCCTATATACTTGCTGTAGAAAGATCACAAATTGGCTCTATGCTTTCAAGAAACTAATGTAAAAAGGAAAATAAAATCAGCCAAAATGTCTTGTGTCCAAAAATCAATAACACTTGTCTTTTGATGTGGGTGGAGAAACAGGAATAAAGGCACATCTGTTCTGATAGTGGGGCTGGAGAGAGTTGATTCTTTACAGGTCCTAATTGAGAGAGGATATGGAGTACAATCTATGTTACAAGAAACATCATGAAGTGTCATAACAACTGCTGTCATTTGTTGCATTCTTACTCTGAAGAAAATACTGGTACTTTTCTTAATTTGACTGGCACAAAAATACAAAGAGTTATTGTTATGATTATTCTCATTTTACCTAAGGTAGCTAAGTTTTAGAGAATTTAACTTGCTTATGGTTACATAGCTGGTTTATTCCAAACTCCCTGATGTTAACTGATCAACTATAGTACATCCTTTTCATTGGCTAATTTTTTAGTGATAAAAAAAAAATCAGATGTCACCACATAAAAGTACAAAAATCTACCAGAGAGAGGTAAGCATATTTAGCAAATAAAGATATAAGACGTCCAGGTATATTTGAATTTCAGATCAATTTCAGACAAAATTTTAGTCTCTGAATTTAAGTTTCACTGATGTTTTGCATTTTATCTGGCAACCGTAATCCAAGAAGTATAGATTTAGAATATAGGATATCTAGAGAGATGGATAGCTATATAGTTCCATTAGGCAACTTTTGAAAAATATGATTTCTTTTCAGACAAGATCCTGCATGGTATTGATTGCAGTGAGTTCAAGATTATACTTCCTGTCAAGCGTCTGCAGTGCAGGGGATTTTTTTGATGTAGGCAGTTAAATACAAAATCATATACTTTGTTAAGCAGCTTAACTGAAGGTAGAATCTCCACCAACTTGCAAAATCTGCGCTCTGACAGGACTTCCTGCCAACGGGACACTCTGCCTTAGCTACGGGTCCACTGATGAGCTCTGTGGCTCCTGAGGGCAGGTGAATGAACTCCCGGGGTGTTCTCACAGGAATAGCCTAGATGGCACAAATTAACTTTAGTTTTATAAAAACAGATCTGTCAAAATGTCCTACTAATTTCATAGAAATGTAACAACAAAGTTTCTTACATTAAAAGTTTTCCTTTAATCGGAAGACATAAGATATATTGATATGGTCATTGCAGATTATTATAATAATGGTTATTTAAATTGGGCAAAACTTAATTGTCAATATTCATTTAACAATAAGTCATTATGCAAAGCCATTATAGTACAAACATGAGATAGAACACTACAAATATTTTAAGATGTTAAAATCTAAATGACATGTCAAATGCTTTTATCATGATGTTAAGTAGAAAAAAATATAAAAACTACACACTATGCAATCTCAGCTATATAAATGATATATTTAAATATGAATTAATTTTTAAAAACCAAATACATAATTTTAAGATAACAGATCTGTGAATTATTTTTGCTATTTTCTTTTTTATACTTTCTGTTCTATAATTTTTATAGTGAGAAAAATATTTCTAATAAGAATAACAATATATGAAACAAATTTTAAAACTGAAATGAACTTGATGATGTTGGCAATGGGCAAGGTACGCCAACAAAATAGGCAATATTGAGATGATAGAACTAAGCCCCTATCAAATAAAATATAATAAATTCTGGCATGTGGAAGCAAGAGTTACTACAGATCAAGGGAATCTGAGTGTTCTCCCAACTTACATAAAAATTAAATTCTAAAACTTTGATGTTCAAGATGTAGAATATTGACGAGGAATAAGGAAAGGGCGATCAGAAAGAGAAAGAGGAAAAGAGCACAGTGAAAAGACCACAGACTACAGTGGAGAAACACCAGAAAAGAGAAAGGGGAGGAAAAGTGTGGTAGAGAGAAGGGAATTAAGGATAAAAATTTGGAAGCATTTTGTAACCACACAGAATCAGGAAAATGGAAGTAAAGTTTCTAGCTAAAACCTGAGATTTGAATTCTCTTGCCCTTCCTACATCTCAAGGCCCAACTCTCACTGTCTAGCACAGTGGTACAATCAAGGTAGGAGAAGCCCCAGTTACAAAGTCTGGCTCATTGACACAACCACACAGGCCCTACTGTTCCTGTGTATTTGAGGAAGCCAAAATGCAAGTCTCTCTTGAAAGTCTGTTTGGTACAGGCATGTAGTATCTCACACGCTTCCAAAATCTGGAGTTCAGAGACCGCTTGTTGGCCACATGGTCTTCCCTCCACTTGATGGTACCGTGCATTTTCATCAGGTGCTGGAGGGAATCTGGAAGCCCAGCAAGCTGCAGTCCACCTGGCTCACTTAGAGCCTCCATTTCAATCAGAATCACCTTGCAGTCATCCTGGATGAGGGCATTGTGCAAGGCAATCTCCTGCTCGAAGGCAAACTCTTTGCTGTGTACGACCTGAGGTGTCAGGATAAAAATGTGCCGCCGACTCTTTTGGATATTGGTTTCCACCACAGTGGCCACATCTAGTAATCAAAGACATGGAGAAGATTTCCTGTTACTGCATTTTTAAGTCTAATGCTTTGATCATAAATGTTTAAAACCTTTTAAAAATTGTGACTGTTATAATCTGGTGTGAGATCTTAACACTATCAATTCACTTATCTGGAAGAGGAGAAATGTGTCTTACCCTTTTCACAATGAGACAAACCCCACGGCCCTCTTCTTTCCCAAATAGATCAGTCCTAACTAAAGCAGAATACTTCCAGTTAAATGCAAATGTAGAAGTATTTATCAAGAGATAAAATTCAGGCCCATTGGCTATATATTATCTTTTTAAAAAATTAGTTTATATGTTGTAAAAGGGCTTAGAATTTTAACTCCCACATTAAAGAGCACAAACTGAGGAACACTTATTCCACTGAACAGACTAATGTCCATAGGTAGTACTGGATCCAATTCATGCTCCCCCATAATCTCTGTTTTAGAAATTGCTTTAATCCAAACTAGAAAAATCTTAAGAAAGACAGAGCCCTTTGGCAAGTCAGTGTTTATAAAACATCAGCTACATAGTGATTTTTAACTAATTTCTGAGTGGACTCAGAAAAACATGTAAAATGTCCAGATCTCACTGCAAGGAGGTTGACAGCATTGATTAAGGGAACCAGTTATGAACAAAACAACTGCAGATATTCTTAAGAGAGTGGTAGCTAAAAGATAGCCAATTTACTTAGTCTGAAATAACAAAGTAAATAGTATTTACTTTGAGCCAGGTAGAGACGTTGGGTCAGTCAGGATCCTAACAGAAAACTTGACACACTCAAAAGGACTGATAAAAGCATTTAATGAAATGAGAATTTATAAAATATGTGAGCAGAGCCTAGGGAAATCAAAGAGAGATGGTGCAGAACACCACAACTGGTAATATCAAGGAGACATTATACCCTCTTCTGTGCAAGGGAGGAAGCAGTTATGGAATGCAAGGAGTGTAAAAAGGCCTGAGGAAGGTCAACTGACAGAAAACCTGCTCCAGGAGAGAGAAGTGCAGCTACCTTGGCAACTTCATCCAGAAGGGGCAAGGGATGTGCCCCTTCCTCTCCAGAACTTCTGCCAGTGCCTCCCTTTGGCCAAAACAAACATGGAGCAGAGGGCAAGGGAGGATGGATTCCTTAATGACCAGCCACCCAGGACCACTGGTTGAAAGGGGTAACAGAGTAGATTTGAAGGAGCAAATGGAAGATAACTAGTGTGGGAAGAAATATACTACATCAGTCAGTCAAAAACTTTTTTCTATGGGAAGAGTAAAGTTTGGTGTTGTTTGATTGGACTTTATTTTACTTTGGTTGAGATAAGGTCAGAAGACATACTTGAGGAAGGGGAAGTAGAAAACCTTTCCAAATGAAAAACACCACCAGAAAGGCAACACAAGCTTGAGCCTCAGCAAGCTAGCATTCATGTTTGGCTGGGAAGAGGTGTAACGAAAAATGAGGTTGATCGGCCTGAGAAGAGGTGAAGAGCTTGTGGCCACATGTAGCACATAGTCTGACATCATTAATAGCTAGAGTCCATGCAACTTCTTGAGCAGACGTATAATATGACTAGGGCATTTGAGTGTTGTGACTCATGACTCTGTTTTCCTGTGTAGCTGGTGGGGAGAGCTGGAGGAAGAAGAGAGCTTCAGGAGAGGACTTAGATTACAGTTTCCTGAATTGTACATTTTATGAGTCTCCCAGGGCCATTAGTAGACTATTAACATTGCTCAAATAATATAGGAAAACCAAATTCACCTGTTGTGTGTATCTTTTGATCCATAGGCATGTGAAATGCCAGTTTAAACACATGGTTTACTAAACATTAACTTTTTTGGACTTAGGTTCATGATGTCCCTCCCTCATTCACATTCCAAATGCTTCCTGGTCTCTGAGGAATTTGGAAAGGGTAAGGAAGGTTCATAGGCATGTGTCATAAATATAGAGGGAATGTAAGAATGACTACTGAAATGCTGGAATTGTGACATAGCTGTCAAAAATACGTGAATTCAGCTGGTAATAGTAAGAAACAGAAGACAGTTTTAGTTGTTCTTGTGAGAATACAAATTTACAAATGTTTCATCAACATTAAGGAAAGCCACACAACTCTGTAAATATTTTAGAATTGCCTCTGGATATTAGAACATAATTCTTTGGTTGTAGAGCCTTCCTTCACATCTTCTAGAGACAATTAAGAAATGTTGAGTAATCCTACTATTGGACATGGGAAATAAAGTAGGGCAGTGTCCTACTAAATCCACATACTAAGGATTCCTTACCCTGTCTTCACATCTCTGACACTACTGTGAATACTTTGTGATAAGCGTGGCAAAGGAACAGGAGAAGCAAAGATTAAGTATCTCCTTCTTTTGGAGAAATATTTAAAATACCTGTCTTAATGCCTAGAATAATGATTCTAAGTCCTTATCCAATTCAGGGATAAGACCACCCATTGCTTAGACTTCTGATTAAGTGAATTTCCATAATGTATGTTGATAGTGTTACCTTCTCCAGGTAGCAAATCTCGCCCATAAATGCACAAGTTATAGCCACATTTATTTTCAAGAACATCAGGCAGAATCTGGTGAACAAAGTAGTCCACAGAACTGGTTGCCTCCAGACTATCTTTGTGGTTCCGTGGATAGATAACATAAGCATCATATATCTTTCCATCTGAAAATAAGAGTAAGTAAAACTTTATTACCTGGTTCTACAAAATTATTCATCACCAAGTTTTATGGTTAGTGGTGAATGTATCCAACCCCCTAAATATTGTAGAATCCAGAGATGATGTAAAATGTCATCAGAAAATCAGTCTTAATCCCAAAGTTCTCCTTTTTATTGCCCCACACTGAATGGTAGAGAAAAGGGAAGAACCTATCCAATTTAGTTGAAGCCACATTGTCACATTTAATCAAGACTCTATTAAGAAGTGTTGTTAACAATATCACCATGATAATGACTGGCACTAACAATGTGCCAAGTCCTGCAAACCTGTAGTAGGTGCTTTGAAAATCAAGTCTTCAAAAGATAAGGGCAGGACAAAATAGTGATCATTATTATTATTAAAAGAAAGTAAAATGAAAAAGTCATGGATAAGGTATGCTTTGCTGAGAAAATCTCAATTTTATGTTTTGTCTTCTCCATGCTTCCCCCAGGGAAATGAAAATGCTAAAGGATAATAGTGGCAGAAGAATAAAAAATTTTAAGGGATCTAAATTTTCTATGAATCCAGTAATTAGCCCTAGTGGATTGGACCGTATGGAATATCTAAATTCCATCTGTCTCCAAATGAAAGAACAGTGTTCACATTTAGCAGGCAGAACTGTCTTCTTTCATGTATATTTACTCAAGTGCGTAGTCAAGACTCTACAGAACAAACAGAGTTCTTGTATTCTTATGTACCTGTCTAACCTCTTCATGTTTGGAAAACAGGAACACTTTAGTTACTGTTTTAAATACCACACTGTTTGCCAAAATACATTTTCCAAAATAGGTAAACCTTTCTGGACTTGGGGCAGTGTGTTACTGGGCTTCAGTAGAAAGAGCAACCCCATTAGGGAGGAAGTTTGAATTGTTGAGATGCATCTTAGAACCCCAAGGAGTAAGAAGGCAGGGTAAAGAATGGCCTCTGAGTGGACTCATAAAAATTTACTAATTACATGCTGGTAAGCAAAAGGGAAGCTGGGTTTTGTAGCATAGCTATTAAGAGATTGAGACAAGAAACCAACAGCTGTTTTGGAACCTTTTCTTTTGAAGAACTTGAAACTAGCTACTTACCATTTCTAGTTTTGTAAGGTCTCGCTATGTCCCTCCATAGCAGAATAACCTCAATCCAGAACACTTTAAGCATTATCATCATGATATTGATTAGCATTAACAATATGCCAAATCCTGCAAGTATGTAGTAGGTGCTTTGATGATCAACTATTCAAAAGATGCGGGAGGACAAAAAATGATCATTATTATGAAAACAAAGTAAAATAAACAAATACATGGATGCTGGCCTCCACTGGGTGTACAAAGGATTCATGCAACAGATGCTGACTTGGAATCATCATGTCTGCTATAAGAATCAGTCAATGAACATTTATTGAGCTCCTATTGTGTACAAGGCACCAGGCTAAGCATTGTAGGGAATTCTTAGAGCATACGAGACACAGAGACACTTGTAAGCCTAACTGAGACAGGAAATAAAGGTGTGATTATGACGGGCAGATGTTTTTAGAAAGAGTGGTCACTCCATGCTGGATTAGGTAATGAGGGCTTCCTGCAGGAGGAGGTGTCTGAAGAACAGGTAAGATTCAGATTGCTGCAAAAAAGAAAATGGATTACTTCTGGCAAGAGAAAATGCTGTGAACCTAAGGGCAAAGATGGGAGTGTGTTTTCTGAGGAAGTGGAGTAATTTAATTTGGGGAAACAGTGAAAGATAAAATAACAAAGGTGGATCAGGGCTAGGTTTTGGCCAGAATTGAGGCCCCAGCTAAGGCATTTAGCCTTTATTCTGAAGGTCATGGAAGCTATTGAAGACTGTTGAGTGAGGTGTTAACAATGAACACAGTTTTAAAGTAAAATTAATCTGATGACAGTGAAAGGAATCTGATGGCAGTGGAAAGAAACTTGGAGTACAATGGGAAAGAAGTTTCTGCAATGCTTGGAGTGAGAGCTGAGGAGGGCTCAAACTCACCTAATAATGAGAAAGGAATGGACAAGCCCAGTACTGGGAGCAATAAGGAGAAAGAATTAACAAGTCTTAGAGACTTGTTAAACCTGGAGTTGGTGGTCTTGTGAAGTTGAAAAGGAACAGAAGCCATTTAAGCCTCTAAAGCTATCTGAGAGAGATACCAAATAGTTGGCTTCTAGTCCCACACATACGCCTTTCTTCTCTATGGTGAACATCCTTTAACCATCACTGAACTTTATCCTATGCACATTGCTTCATAAAGTACATATGCAAGATGGTCCCCATCTTCAAGGACATGTAACAGGTATGTATCACAATACAAACTGAACATAAAAACTGAGCCCATTAATAGTATTTTTGGCTGTTTTAACTTACTTCTTTCTTTATAACTGCTATCATATTTTACAAATAGTCCCACTTAATGATGCCCCTGAGAAGAATCCCAAATGAGAACTGGTTATATTGTTGTCCTTTGATTTTCACCTCAAATCTCAAAACATGAGCTCCTGGGTTTGACATAGAAAAGCACTGGCCCATGTTAAAAAATTCTCCAATTGTTCTTCAGCTTCCTGAGTATGCAGCATTATGAGATCAAGATTGGCCAAGCTGAAGTGATCCAAAACTGGAAGGCAGGGGGCAAGGGAGCGGCGGATTGGCAGAGAGCTTACTGTCTGCACTGTCATCAGTTTAAATGCTAAATATTCCCTAACACATCATTTCAACAGGATTCATCCTCAGCTTACTTTTTCTAAAACTCCTATCTGGAAGTATCCTGGAAATCTACACTTTTTGTGGAGATTGTTGTGAAATAACTACAGATGTGGCTGGTTATTTTCAAATGAAGGAATGCAATTAATCTAAGACATTGAAGGAAGTTGAAGTTCAATATCTTCCTAAGTGTTAATAGCTTTTTACATATATAAATAATTTCTTTACATGATGACAGAACACTAAATACTTCCTGGAAGTGCTGATAAACAGGAAAACACTGCCTGTGTTTGAATCTTGGGCTTATAACGTTAGTATTTGACAACTTATTCACCCTCCCTTTGCCTCAAATTCCTTCTCTTTAAAATTAGATGATAGTCTCTTTCTCATGGAGTACTGATTTTTTTTTTAAAGTGAGAAATTCAATGGAAAATAATTAGGTCCTAGTGCATAGGAAACAATAAATAAATGTGTGATATTATTATGAGTATCAAATATTTATTGAATAATATTTAGTAATATGAAGATATAGGCTTTTTAAATTTTTGTTTTTAAAATTAAAGACAATGCTGTAATTTCTTTATTCTATGATTAGAAATAAGGGAATTAATTGTGACAGCCTGACAATAGTAGCAACAATTTTTGTTTAATTTATACAGTTGTTGAAACAGTATAACCTTATTGATTTGAAGAAAAACAGGTGAAAGACAGCAAATACAAATAAACTACAATGAACAAAATCACCAAATACATTTAACACAAAAACACTTCTAATTCACATGTAACCAGAGAACATCTCTAAACTGAAAATGTGAGTAATGCATAGGAATCAGATTTTCTTACTGGAATAGGCAGAAGTTATATATTTCAGTTTTCCATTCACTTTTTCAGCCTCACTAACAAAATGTGTGTTCTTTATGACAAAAAAAAAATACATTATAAAAGGGAATGTGTTAATAACATGTTATTATAAAAGGTAACAAAAGAAAATGTCCACAGTTTGCTGTTGGACATTTCTTTCACATATAATGAGATAAAGAGGTCTAATGAAGTGAGAAAGTGAACGGATGACCAAGGAAGCAGATGGGTGTTAAAGAGGAACCAGCAGGAGGAATGGGGGGAGGGAGGAAGAGGAGGAAGGAAGAGGAAGAGGGCAGGTGAGGGTAGAAAAAAAGAAGTAAAGCAGTAGTGAGGCAACCAGACAAACAGGAACAGTCTGAGGAGACCTTCCTGCAGAAAGTCAATGTTCTCAAGAGGAGAAGCACATTTTATTTGTTGGTCCACTTTCTTTGTCTTGATGTATCCCCCTAGAACCATACTGCAATGTCTCATTTGCTAAGAAAAAGATTTCAGCCTATAGCTCATACAAGGAACTCAGGTGACCAAAGTCTCAGAAACACTCCTTACTTGGCTTTTTCCTCCTTAGTCTTAAGGTGTGCCTTCTCAAGCCATGGAAATTCAAGGCCAGACAGTCATACTTCAGCAACAAATCTCCTTCTCTTACATCAGCTATTCTTAAAATGGTGCTTCGACAAGTCAGCTCATTGCTAGAACTAAGAAGGCAACGTGTTATTTTCAAGGCTTATTTGTGGGTTGCAATTCTGTGGCAGGAAAATGGGATGTTTTAACTTGAGTGTGAAAAACCTGTGATTTTGCTCTTGTTCCTCTTGAATTCTTGTTTCACCAAAGTTCCCAACTGTGCTTCCATTAACCTGCCACAGGATGTCAGCCATAATCTGAGAGCCTTTCCCAAAGCAGGCAGAGCAAATAATCTTTGCTGTTTTTCCTAGAGGAGAAATAAAGAAATTCAGCAATAAAATTAAATTCTGCAAATAGTATTTACCTTAATGCAAAATAATTGTTGATCATCTAAAGTGTGCCAGAAATTATTATTTTCCTTCCCCAATTTTATCACCTTCACGTTTCTATGCCCTCTTCTAGCCTCCTCCCCTCTCCCGTTATCTTTATTTCATATACAATTAGGTTTAAAGCTCACCTCTCCTCTCCGTCCTCACTGGAAGAGGAAACTAAAGAGACAAATGACTCAAGCTTCACCAATCCCATATTATAATGCAGTATTTCCCTTTATTATTTTTTTAAATTTCTTTTTAACTACTCTCCTTCATACATTTCTCCTCCTTTTGAATACTCTTCATCTTTTTCTAGGCTAGTAAAACAGTTTTCCCTAACCAGGCTACCATTCCAAGTATTTAATTGCCTAACAAGAGCCGTCTTTAGTCCAACTCCTTTGACTTCAGAGTTATTTCTTTCCGACCTGAAGTATGGACTGCATTCCTACAGCTGGAAGCATGGGTATGTGCATTCAGCTATCCCCTTCTGAGCCCTGAGCTCCTGTGTCTGCAATTGGATGTCTGAAGTGTGATAAGGAGCTCAGTGTCTTTCCAAAGGGACAAGGGAATAAACATTAACAATTAGAACACAAGGTATTCTCATGTTCTGGTAGAAAGATTGACAAGTGATATGGGAAAATAGGGAAAGAAATCATTGCAGAGAGGAGGGCTGCCATATTGCATAAGTATATGGTGGCCCTGGACTCGAATGAAGAAGAGGCTGTAATCATGCTCTCTGGCAGCAAAGGAGAGTGGCATGGGGCGATTTCACAGAGGAGGTGATATTTGCAATTAGTGTTGAGAGAAGGGATGGAGGAACAACATGGGCAAAAGCAGGCAAGAATGTAGAAATGCTGCATGTCAGTGTAAGAGCCATGAGATGATCAGTGTGATAGGAACACGGGGCACATGGATTGACAGCTGCATATGGGCCAGGATGCAGGTGAAGACCAGATCATGAGGGTATTGTTCCACATGCTAAAAACATTGAATTGTATCCCACCTTTAGTGGGGAACCAGGAAGGCAGAGATGGATAGAGTCAGAAAGTCTGGATTCTCATTCTTCTGTCATTGATTATTCACAACCTCAGGCATATCATCCATCCTGTCTGAGCCCAAGTATCCACAAGTTTAAAGTGGGAACAATTTCTACCTTCTGGATAGAAGTGACAATGGCACATGAGTTACGAAGTACAATACAAGTGTAAATGCTGTGTCATGCTGTGACCACATATTCTTGAAATGTGCAAGTGCCCAAGTGTTTCCACCCTTGACATCTCATTGAACCCTCAAGATCCACTATACACATTACTTGACCCCTACTTGGAGAATTCAGATCAGGGGTCAGAGGGAAGGATTTTCCAGACAACATTAACAGCATTCTTAAAGTTTTCTTACCGATTTCCACATCCTTTGTTTCATTTTGTGGTGGCGCTATAATTACTGGAAACAAAGAAAAGCTTTTCTCCTCTTAAATCAAATACAAATGGAGAATATGAATATTAGAACAGCATTTGGATGGTCATCAATATAAAACTTTTATTTTCATATTTCTATCCTATTTCATAGCAATATTTCTCAAATTATCTGACAATGACAATGGCAACAAATATGCATATACACAGATGTAGAAACACGCAAATGAAACAAAAATTTTAAAGTAATACTTTGTCTTATTATCTCTTTATCAAAGGATGCTCTTTGATATTTTCTATTCCCTTTTATCTCATTAAACAAAGAGCAGTCCAACACATTAAGTTAATTGTATGACCTCACAATTGTTAGAAATCTACAATTCTATAGAAAGGGCATAATGCTACAGGAAATAAGAGTTCAAAAGATGCATGAGGATGACAAACACATAACTTCACTCTTCTGCTCATAGCCTTCTACCACTGTGGCCCATCCTATTAGGAAATGCTAATTTCCTATGTTCCTGATTCTTAGAGACCATGAAAAGAAACTCTGGGCTACTGGTGCACTCCCATAGCCCTCGGCCCTGACTGACTTTAGTGATTAAGAACCCCTGTGAATTTTGATATGAATCAGTGAGATACACTAATAGAAATGTGGTCTGCTGATGCTCATTTTACAACAGCAGAGCTTTGAAAAACACCAAACACAACTTTTTTCCATTGTTGCTTTGCTCTCAGAAATCTACCATACATAGAGGTGCTACTTCCTCTATATCCACTAATCAAGATAGGCTAAGGAGACCCTGACTCTTTGTAGATGTGAAACTCTCGATTGTAAAGTCTTTCCCCTGAGTGGGCTTTTATAGGATTTAAAGTAAATATTTTAAAAAATTAGAATTAAGTGACCTACTTGAGGTCTTTAATGATGTTGAAAGCATTTCAAACCAGGATTGAAAGCCACTCAACAGGACCTATGTATCTTTATAAAGCTTCTCACTTGACTTACTAATCCAGTGAGTTATAGTAGAGATCAAATAGACTTTTTTCTATTTCCAGAATATTTGCCAACAAATTGGGAGAAGAAAAGTTGATCTTGCTCTTCAAAGAGCTGTCAAAAAATTAAATTAGCATTTAGATCACAATATCTTTGAAAAAATAGGTAAAAATGGGAAGAATACATGCGTTTGGATTAGCTGCACAATCTTCCTCTGAAATTTCTTAAATTTTGATAGTGGTCTTGGTAGAGAATGTGCAAAATAAGATGAAGTAGAAGGAAGTACTGAGGGGAAGATGAAGTTCAGGAAAGTCAACAAGAAGGGCCTTATTCCAGGACCTTACCATGAACTGCGAATGACCTGGTTGCTGTCACATTGTAACTGGCTCCATTTTCATTGTGCATAAATCTGCATGTATAATCACCTGCATCTTTACTAGTTGCATTGTCAATCACCAGATATGTCTCATGTGTGTAGTACCTTGATCCTTGAAGAGCTTTACAATTCTGAAATTAAAAAACAAAAATGCCATTCCACTTTCAGTAATTCTTACTTTCATCTATTTGGTGTAATTTTCATTTATTTTCTCCAAATTCCTTTTACCTTAAACCACTCAACAGGTGCTGTCCAATTGTAGAGGTCAATGGTAGGACAATATATTTTGGAATTTTTTTCTAATCCAAAGGTTGTTGAATATATCACATCATCTGGAATATTGCAATCTGGTAGTTTTTTATATATGGTGACATTCACATATCCAGTCTTATTGAAGGTGGGACTATTAAAAAGTCAAACAATTTTTTAAAGTTACTTAACATTATGCAATAACTTTATCCAAATCTAGCTTTTACTAATTACTGTTTTTCTCCTTAAAATGATGGCTTTTTTCTCATTTAAAAATAATCATTAAAATCTAGGGTTTTAAATATATTTTGTTACATTTGAGATAAAACATAACCCTTACAACAGTCCTAAAAAAGACTCCCTCACCGTTTCTTCATATACTGTATCTGCTGTAATGAAAATTACCCAATATAATAAAGATAATTAGTATTTATTGGAATCCACTATGTACCATTCATGGTATTAATAATACCTCATTTATTCCCACAATGATTTGAACTGAGTTATATTAATATATGAAGTTTACAGATGAGGAAACTGAGGGGGACAGAATTAACTTGCAGGCATCACACAAATAATAGCGTGAATTTCAAACTGAAACTTGTCTGACCTCAGAACTTAAGCACCTAATTATATACATCCTGTTTTTTTATATAGTACATCTGACATTTTCTATTTATCAAATACAGGTACAAAATCAAAACACCTAACAATTTATATGTAGAGCGAGTAATTTATAGGCACACATTCTCACATAAGCTTCTTTAGCTGACCTCTAAGATGTAAGGCAATGGTAATTACCATTTTGCACCAATCGTAGGCCTCTTTGATGCCCAGCGAATAGGTTACTGTTCTTTGTGCTGCTTTATTCTCACTTCCAGGAAAAACTGGGTGACTGGTCTTAGTTTACCTGGTCACTATGAAAACTAGATCTTTTCTAACTGGGCCACAAATTAATCCCTGAAGTTATCCATCCAAATAGTTAGTTCATAATCACCTACACCCCAACCAGATGGTGTTCCTAGAAGCACTCTTTTATTCAAATCACTTCATAAATTCAATGGTACCAAAGAAGTCTAGAAAGGGAAGGAGAGTAAGGGTAGTTCAGACAATCAACTCTTACAGAAAAGAGAGCAAGTCTAAAGACTAGGGTGGCTGATACTACCTTCGGATAATGCAAGTATAAATTCCAGAATCCTCAACTTTGGCTGGGAGAAGCTTAAGACGTTCCCTTGAGGCAAATACACGACTTTCTTTCTGGGTGGTAACACTTTTGTTGGTTTTTGAGTAATACCATTCTACAGGGTATCGAGATCTTTCTTGTCTAGGACATCTCACAATTAAAGCCTCACTTTCCAGGCCCCAGGATAACTTGTCTGTAAAGGAAAAAAAAAAATATGACCCTGAAATTATCATATAAAAAGATTATAATTCCCATATACTAGGATATTCCTCTCTAGTATTAAATTGAGCCATACTTTGTGATAGTTTAACTGAGAAAGGACACGAAAATGATTAAGACCTTGTATGAAATGTTCTAATGGGTACCACAGATCAGTGAAATAATTTGGAGCCAGATTCCCCAAATTGCTCCAGTGGAAAAGCAGCCATGCCTAACTATACAAAGTATGTTGTCAATTAACAACTGCTTACAATGCCTCTTATGTGTAAGCACGCTGTTAAATTTTCACATATTCAAATATGTAAAACTAAAATTAGGTAATATTTATAAGGAATTTATTTTCTTAGATTTGTGATGGAAAATGACTGTAGAGCATAAATGATTTTTCCAGGTTACAGTTCAACTGGAACAACTGTAAACAATCTGTTTAAAACAAGGCACATGTTATTGAAATTACTTAAATTTTTTAATTATAGTTGAGAAGAAATACTTACTAAATGTAGCAACTGTGAAATGTGTAACAGCTATTATAATTGTTAAGACCTGAAGTCCCATTCTCAGTTTATCGGTCTAGAGCAAGTGTTGGCAACTGATTGTTGAGATTATTCAAGTTGGCTCTGTGACATGACAGTCAAGGACTCTCTGAGGAGGTTGATGGTGCTACTTAAGATTTATCATTGGAAAGAGCTGCCAGTGTCTCTACTGAAAAAAAAAAAAACATGCAGAATCACAAGTAAGATGTTTATAACCATGAATTGTACTTGCTTAATAACACCCAAGAGAATTAATAATTCAACAGGTGTATATTGTGCATAAATATTTATAACAGCAGGGTTTCAGACAAACATCACTGCATTTCTTCCTCCTGAACCTGGGGCTATATACAGTGACCTCACAATGCTCTCTTGCTGTTTCACAGTCTGAGGACAATGTACAGAAAGAAGCTAAATTAAGAGGAAAGAAAATGGATATCTAATTTTGAATAAATTAAAACCATAAAATTTGACAGACCCTGGAAAATACAATACTATAAATTCTAGTGTAAAATTACAACATCCACAGAGGTTGGCAGCTGTGTGAACACATATGAACCACACACAGGCACACGTGCAAATAGTCATCAAAAAGCAACTAAGAAATACAGGAAGGTGATGGGTAGAGCATTAATCAAATAGCTGTCCTGGACACTACAGTAAATCCTTAAAAAGTTGTCCCTTCCTTAACTTGCTCCCAGGATTCACCAAAGACTTTCTGAAAATACTTAAAAGTCTGTGGAAAACAATTACATACCTTTTTTTAATTTTAGCCAAAGAATCACTTAACTCCACCATTTTTCTTAAAAAGTCAGGGATAGGATGGAACCAATATGGAATTAAACATACAAACTTTAATATAGTTCAAGAAAGCACATTTCCTTTATAGCAGATTGTTAATACTTCTCTTATTAAATGTATGAGAAAGTTTTTTTACAAACTTTAGATAAGTAATTGATGCTTACCCACACTGAAGTATATAACACAGTGAACTCCAGGTCAATAACTGAGCTCAGAATAGTTTCCAGCTCTGTGGCTTCTTCCCTGAGACTGCTCAGGTGCAAGCACTCTCGCTTTTATTTTTAAAGGGGAGATGCCCAAAGACATCCGAAGTCACCACTCCACCCACCCAGAAAATTTGATTTTTCGCAAAAACTCATGACTTATTCAAATATGCTGGTACATCATGAACCAAGAATTCTTAACCTTGGTACATAAATATTTAAACCTAAGGACAACATTCCTTTAAAGGAAGTAATCAAATTACCTCCCTCTATTTTACCATCAGTTTCTCAAAACAAATAATGCTTGCTGTTTATCACCCTGATATTATTGTCCTTTCAATTCTAATAAACTTGAAATCTTGGGTCCTTGAAACCACCTTTCCAGACATTCCCTGACACTTCTGGCAGACACTTGCTGGGCAGGCTCAACCAGTTTTAGCAGATTTGAGCAGAATTTCAAAAGCAAACCATGGGGACAAGCCCTGAGAGGTAAGTAGGCCTTGAAGAGATTCTGGAAATGTTCTATTTATGGTTCTGAATGTGACACAGTCTCATCCAAAAACAGACTCCATTTCCTCAGATATATAATTTTAAAAAGTCCCTCTTGGGTTCTCAGTTTGGATGGGAAAACCAAGTTTTTCTAAGGCATTCAGGGAACTAGAAGGAGGCTGTGAGTAAGAAGGCCACCTCAAGGGGAGTAACAGGAAGACCATAGTTCATGGGCTCCATGTAAAATAAGTGATAATTGCAAATTTGGTTTTAGCTCTGCATAGCTGGTATGACTCTATGATGAGTAAATTCAATTAAATTTTGAAATTCATAGCATCCCAAAAGGATTCAGGAACTAAATTCTAGATCATCATCATCATCATTATCATCATTATCATCATCACAGCTAATCTTTTTCTAGAACTCTCTCTCTGCCAGATACATGCTAAGTGACTAACATTTTTTAACTCTATTCTCATGACTACCCAAAGATACAAACTCTATTATCAGTGTTCCCGTTTTACAGATAAGGACCCTGAGGCACAGAGAAGTTAAGCAACTTGTCCAAGTCACATACCACTAAGAGGTAAAGCCAGAATTTGAACCCAAGGAGGTTGGCTCCAAAGGCTAGATACCTAGTTACCAAGTCATAATGCCACTAGGTAAGTAAAGACAAGTGGGGTTTTGAAGTTTACTACAGCATCCCTCTTCACCACCCCCCAACCCCCAACTGTGTCTGACAATGCTTCTAAGCAGTCCTCCCCATCTCCATAGGGTTAATCAGCATTTGGACATCAGTCACATGCTCTGACAGAAAAGATCCAATCTTATCACTCCTGGAAGATTCACAATGAGATGCTTGATATAAGTTTGGGGAATTAGGTCTGCTTGTTATTATTCTCAAGTTAGTTATCAAAGTTCTTAATATCAAGATCATACAAGTTTTGGCACTGAGACCACAGAATCAGGAGCAGGCATGCTTGGAACAGTGTCCTGGACAATGTGAGCTCTAGATAAGATATTTTTAAATAAAATAATACAAACTTTAACATACTTATACTTGAATATAAACATATTTTGTATTCTAAAACATCTTTTAAAAATATTATACAAGAATTTATTCATTAAACTAAGTCACATTTACATTGTTTTCCTTGTTTTAAATAAGGTTTCATAGTTAAAAATAAGGTTTCAGTTAGAATTTTAATGTAATAACCATGAAATCTTACAGAAGTATTTAATAAATTATAACTCAATATAAAATAATTCAGTCATCCATTCAGCAAGTCTTGCTATTCAAAGTACAATACTCTGTGGTACTTATCAATATTAAAATTTTATAGATGAAAATAAAAACCAAGGGTGACACTGGTAAATTGGATGAATCTCACCCAGTTGTGTCTGGGGTTGAAACCAGACTTGTTGAACCTCAAAGCCAAGTTTATTTGTTTTAATCAACAAAAAATGAAAGAGATTGGAGCAGTAAAGTTTTCCTTCTTATAGTAAATGAAATAAACTAGTTTAACTTCTCTTAAACCTCTTCTTTATAAAGGTCTAAACCATTTTGGCTTCTAACTACTCTGACACCATGCAATACAGAAGTAAAGAAATTTATAATAATAAGACAAAAGGTAAAAGGCAAAAACTTTTAATAAATAAACAAAACAGAAATGGTGAGCCTCTGAATTTCTGCCAAGTTAATCAGGAATCTTCCAGTGTCTTCTTGTCTCTGACAGATACTCTCTTTTTAAGATTACGCAGAACTATGTTTCATTTTCAATATTACTCTAACCTAATTTTTTTTCTGATTTTTGAAGTTAAGTTTTGAAATACTGCATGACCCTATTTATGGTCTAATTCTCTGACATTTCCTGTGTTGACTGGGATGGTGATTACATAAGTGAGTATAATCATCAAATCTCACAAAAGAGACCCAGATTCATTTATGAGATACCATGAGAAGTCTCTACTAGAGGCCTTGTCAATATTTTATCATCAAACTTTCCATAGCAAATAATCTGTGGAGGACACTGTCAACTACTTTGGTAAATAATTCTGAGAACAAGTTGTCCAGAAAAAGTTCTTCAGTCTGTTTTTAAAAAAAAATTTATAATTGTCCCTCTGAAACTAAAAGCAATCAGCCAGCCTTTTGTAGTTTTTTTGTGAGAGCAAATACAGCACCTGAAATATTTGACAGAAGCAAAACAACACAGGCATTGACCATGTATAAGGACACCAGACACACTACAAGGGAGATGGGCCTAATTCTGCATTCTGCATTGTGAGGAAGCTCAAAAGAAAAGTAGTGGAGAATATTGGGAGCTCCTAAGGTAGGCTCATCAGTAAGCCTACTATTGGCTCATCAGTAAGGAAATATTTCAGTGGTTTAATAACCAGTATCATTGTACAAATGAATTCTGCATCATCTAGCCTTGTAAGGGCCAAATGCTGAAACCAAATATCCAATGAGTACTTCTTTTTTAAGGTGTCCATCATTGTTTTAGATGCTGAGGATACACCAATGTACCAAACAGAACAACACAGACAAAAACACCTCTAATGTGCAATTTATAGCCTAGTGGAGAAGGACAATAAGGCATAAAAATAAGTTTAAAATATTTAGATGGTGATATGTTTAGAGAGGAAAAGAAAACAGACGAGGGAAGTAAGGAGAATTGGAGAGGTGAAATTTTAGGTAGGGTGACCTGGGACAGCTTACTAGAAATGTGGCATTCAATAAACAGCCAAAGAACAACCCAGGCAGAAGGGGAAGATAGTATGAAAGCCCTAAAGCAGAAGCATTCCCAGTATGTTTGAGGAACAGCAGAGTATCACGTGGCTTCAGTGGAGTATGAAATAGCAGAGAACTAAGAGCAGATTGGATACATTTGGTGACCAAATGATGCATGGCCTCATGAGTCATCTTGACCATTTTGGCTTTTACTGTGTGAGATGGAAACCACTAGAGAGGTTCAATCCAATGGATGGTATGGCCTGATGTAGGTTTAAGCAAGAATACTCTGCATGTTGAAAATACTTTTCAGGAGGACAATGGATAAAGGAGGGAAACAAGTTAGGATGCTACGTGTTCATCAAGGTGAGAGAGATGGTGACTTGGACCAGGGTGTGGGAGTATAGGTGGTGAGATAGGCTGGATTTTAGATATAATTTGAGGTATTACAGATAGGATTTCTTGATGGATAAGATATAGGGTTTGAGAGAAAGAGCAATCAAAGGTGACTCCAAAGTTTTGGCCTGAGAAACCAGACAAAGGGATTGGTATTTACTGAGATGGGGAGATTAGAGGTGGAACAGGTTTTGGAGTTAGATTAGGTCATTTTGGACATAGATTTATCTGTTACACATACAACTGAAGATGTCAAGCCATCAGTGGGATATTTGCTTCTGAAGGTCAGGAGGCATGTTAGGGCTAGAGATATACATTTGTGATGTGTTAGTGTACAGAAGAAATTAAAACCCCAGAACTAGATGAAATCTTTAAAAGTAAATGTTGATACACCAAAAGAGT